GATATCAAAAAAGTACTCCAGAGTGTTGTTCAGCATGGGGGTGAGTAGAAAATGAAGGCTAATCATGTTTTGGGTGTACTATTCCTTTAAGCCTGAACACATATGAAAAGTAAAATTGTAATATATGACCTTTAAAGCACAATAGTGGGATTCATGTTTACATTCAAGCTCAGTAAATATTCCGAAATAGAAAAAACAAAATAAAAAAAGAGAAAAGAAACATGGCCAATATTAGCTAGGGAGTATTGATGATATGTCTAGAAAGCCAAAACTCTGACAGCCTTGCACCATACCATTCAAAGAAAAAAGTAGTGTCGCTATCTCCAATGTTTTTTCATTAATCAAAGCTTTCAATGTTAATTTGAGATCAAGCAAACAAGCAGCCTACCCAGAAATTCAAAAGAACTCTTTGAACCTCTCAGCCAACCTGGTATTTATAGTGGTTATTGGATGCATGTGAAAAAATATATAATTTCAAGAACTAAATAATGAGCAGCATTGTAACTCTAATGTATTTCTTTAGTCTTTATCAGAATAGCGAGCCATATGCAGTGGTTAAAAGTTGCTTTTCTGCAAGTTGCAATATATATATTCAAACAAATGCTGCACACATGTTGGGTTGAAAGTTAGTGAAAATACTGATAAATAGAGACTGCAACAGTGGTAAGAATGAATTCATTCAGGTTAAGAACAAAAATTGTCCCAGTTGTTTATTTACTCTGTGAATTTCGACAAAAATGTCGAGGCACTAAATTGCTGTCCTTGTTTTCCTGCAGACATTTGTATTAACAGAAGACAACAATTGAACAACATATTACCCCATGAATTGCCTGCTTTTCAGTTTCCATCTTGGTCTGGCTGTTTACTTCCTGCTCAAGTAGACTATTCTTTCCATGGAGTGAACTGTTCTCAATCTTCAGCCTTGAGTTATTAATTCCTTTAAATCCAAAATTCCAATAGATTCTTAATCCTGAGACTAAATATGTTTCCAGCAGACAGTTTTCATTAGGAAAGAAATCTGTTCTCCTCTGTTGCTACTTTTAGAGCTTACCCAGTTTTAGGTTTTGTGGCTCAGAAATGAGATTGTTTCATACTTTAATCAAATAGTAAATGTTTATAGTTTTATCTTTCTTCTTTCAGATACTTAGGATTTGCACTCGCTACACTCCTGACCAGGACACCATGACCTTTTCTGATGGACTGACTCTGACCCGCACTCAAATCCACAATGCAGGGTTCGGACCGCTGACGGATCAGGTTTTCACATTTGCTGGACAGCTGCTGCCTCTGGAGATGGACGAGACAGAGAGCGGGCTCCTCAGTGCTATCTGCCTCGTGTCCGGAGGTACTGGACATGTCTCTGAAATGTGACATAGATTTTGCTGCCGCCGGCCTCTAAGGTTAACCGCTTTTCTTTGTGGGGGTGTAGATCGGCAGGACCTGGAGGAACCTTCTAAAGTGGAGGTGCTGCAAGAACCACTGTTGGAGGCGTTGAAGATCTACTCGCGGAAGCGACGACCCAGCATGCCCCTCATGTTCCCCAAAGCCCTAATGAAGATCACTGACCTTCGTAGCATCAGTGCTAAAGGTTAGTACTTGGGAAATGATTTTTGACTTTTTTTTTTAAGCCCACCATTCAACTAAGAAAAAAAGAATATATGAATATTTTCTGCATAAGTAGAAAATACTTAATAACAGCAAGTCAGACCATATAATGCACAGGATTAACATAAATTCAAAAACTGCAAATCTCACGTCCATGACAGGACAACTAGAGAAACACTTTTATATGGATGAATTAATTTGAAGGGTTTAAGGTAGAAGCCTTTGCCTGTAAATAATAAAGCACCGAAAGCTCCCAAATAATATTCTAAGGACAGATGAGACAGATGTAGAGATGTTTGCACATTAGCATGTCTGGAGAAACCTTGAGCTTAAACCCGCCTCACTCAGTGTCAAGAACAGCAATGAAAGAGGGATGATTTTCGCTTTTCCTGCTCCCAGAAACCAGGCACCTTGTAGCCTGAGAAATTATTCTAGCCTGAAATGAATAAAAAGTGGCTCACTGCTGGTTCAGGTTTTGACTTAGATGGAGATGCTGGGGCGGGACCTGAAGAGAGCTGTTCCTGAACCCTTTAGGAATGTCCAACAACTGCAAATGTAACTTAAACTTTGATAACGAAAGGTAAAACAGATAACCTATTCCTATAGGGACATCTACTGTTTAAAAAGATGAACTGCATTTAGCAAAATGGTAGCTTGCTCCAAGTTACCGTAACAACCATGTTATGCAAACCGTCCACTAATCTGATACACAGACAGCTTCATATATCATGAGAACTCTTTAAGTGTACATCTTTTTAAAATGCAAAACACTTCTTAATTTATGAGGATTTGTTTCGCCTTATATAATATCTTTGGAAATTAAAACTTCGTTTGCATTCCTGTAGGAGCTGAGCGGGTGGTGACATTGAAGATGGAGATCCCAGGCTCCATGCCTCCTTTGATTGAAGAGATGATGGAGGATCTGCAGAACCTGGAGAGCAGCCAGCACTCACACACCATCTCCTCCCACTCTCAGCGTACAAACCATCCTTGTCTCCCAGTCTGAAGCTGCCCGGAGAACTTTTCTTCCTTCCGAGAGAGATTACTAATGATTTAAGTGCAGATGCAGTTTGGACGGTCACTAGTGCTTCAGAGTTTGAGTTAGATCTTGAGACGTATAAAATGAGATTCAGCTGTCAGATTAACAACATGGAGGTTTCATTGAGATGCTATCCTACTTTGATGGAAGAAAAAGAAAACCTAGAATGATGCAGTAATATGCAATGCTGTCGCTGGCGCCTCATATCCACTGAGAATCACTCTCAGCTTCTGTTTACCATATCTGGTTCTTGCTGTATTTATATTTGCATGAGTTATTAATTTTTACCTCATTGAATAACGCCATCCGTGTTAGATTAGGAAGAAAAGGCACTCGTTGGGATGACTTGTTAAAGCTTTTTAATGTTATTTTTAAAACCTGTTAGCTGCAGTGGTGGATAGATGTTACATGGGAAACAAGTAAAGGGAAAATTGGAAACAAAAAACGTCAAACTTTTATCAGAATTGGTCTGATATCTTTGTAGGGAAGTTAAAGTCAATTGAATAGGGGACATAAATACAGTATGTATACAGCCTTGTTAAACTGCCAAGGTTTTTTAATGATCTAAGAAACAGGATCATTATAAATCATATCAAAAATTTTAGCATTTTAGAACTAGAAGGTTCAGCAACCAGGCTGTATGTGTGTGCTTTCTTTCATCAAATAGTTTAAGTTCATTATGTCAGCATTCAGTTTTCTTTTGAAGAAGTTGATCCGCATCCCATAATTTGACCTGACAATATTATAAGTCCTCAGATTGCAAAAGTACCTCTTGCCCATCATTGTCTTCTAGTTATTCTGTCAGGTTTACGTCTGAACTTCCCAAACTTAACTTTTTTCTAGAGAAGACATAATTCCATTGGATGTATGAACCATGTTTCAGTGTAGGTATGGCGTTCTGTAGTAATGTATTGGTCCTTTTTCCTTACACCAGAATAATCTACAATTTTCTATGAGATTTAAGCTTGGCTTTGATGTTTTCTCCAAATACAAGTCTCATTAGTTTGCCGGTTTAAAAACCACAGGAGGTTGCTTTGTTTTGCCAGTATTGCCGTCTGCCTCCCAATTGTTTATTTTGTTTTTTACAGAATTTTTGAGGAAAAAAAAAAGGTTCCTCTAATATCCCTTCTTTAACATATTTGATGCCTAAAAGAGGTGTGTGATTGGCTATGAATGTACCATTATTTTTTTAATGACACATTAAGTCCATTTGTTACGAAAATAAAATGAATTATAAGATTTTTTTAATAAGATATTTTCCCTATATTGGTCAGGAAAACATTTTGGTAGTTTCTATACTTTTTCTCACAGCTAACATTTAGAACAGTTTAACTAAGTAGGTATGCCCTAAGCTGCTTTTTAGGGGAGGCAGAAAACCAACTTTGCAGGCAAAATTATTAATAAAAAACCTTTGATGAATTGCTCAAAGTGACCTGTCACATGGACAAACCAGTGCGCTTAAGTTGGTGCCAAATATTTACATTTACAGGCAAAAAAGTTTTTTTTACGATTTACTTTTTTTCTATTATTTTTCCATTGCGAAAAGCTGACAGTTTAATAAATATGTTTTACACTGTAAGTATGAAAAGCTGTAGCCTTTTATGAGCTCGTTTAGTTGCTGGCAGTCTGTTGGATCGCTCTCCAACAAAAGATTTATCACCATCTTAGTAAGCTAAAGATTATTATTTCTTCTTAGACTTTATGAATGAAGATCATTTAAATACAGATTATCCTAAATGAAATTGTTCCTGAAAATATTTTTTTCTATGTATGAGACATGTAAAGTTTTACCACAGACTGATTGTGTAGCCTTTGTTGCGCCGTGGCACAGTGTTCGCCTTCAGGCGCACCATTCGTTCCCCTGTAGTGACGTCATCTTGTTACTTGATCTTTGTTTCCTGTATTTGCTTTCGTAACACCTGTAAAATTAGCATTGTTCTTATAAATCTGACCTTTTCTTTTGTTTTAACGTTGTTTACTCTGCAGTTTTTTTTATGCTGACAAAAAAAATGATAACAGCCTCACACAGCTGCGAGTATAACTTTAATATAGTGATATGAATATCTAGTAAAAATGGCATTTTAGTAAAACCTAAAAAAACATCATTCAAAATTCAAATATAAAGAAAATGTCATCATGAAAAAAAATTCTGTAAAAAATGACGGACTTAAATTAGAACTGTTGAATGAAAGCAGCTCAAACGCAACCTTTGAACTGTAAAGATTCACATGTGCCTGCCATTTATGTGCCAACATTTTCCAAAATTTAAGTTTTTACGTTTTTTTGAGTTCATGCCACAAAAAGGCACAATGCGATTATACTGTATGTACATATCATTTTTCATCTGTGAAATTAAACATTCATTGTTTTGTTGCTGTCTATTCATGTTTGTTTACTGAACTTTCATAGTTTATTTTTGGTATTCTTTCATTGTCTTTCCTGAGAAATTAGTTATCAGTCTATTGAATGGATTGTGCTGCCCCCTGTTGGTGCCGTGAGAGAGTGCTCACTTCAGTCCTGAATTAAAGAGTCCAATAATGTGTCAAGCAGTGAATAAATCCCTAAAATACAAAGTTATTATTGAGCAGCTCCAGATATTAACAAGTATTTCTTTTATTGTTGTTCTTTTAGAAAACTAATTATTTTTGTTAAATATCAAAATGTAGGTTGAAGCCAAACCTTTCGTTGCAAAGGTTTTATAATGTATAATTTCTTTCAATCAGCAAAACTTTCTTTTGAAGTGACCTNTTAAAGAGTTTTCTTTGTTTTCATGACTATGAAAATGTAAGATTCCCACTGAAGGCATCAAAACTATGAATTAACACATGTGGAATTATATACTTGACAAAAAAGTGTGACTGAAAATATGTCTTATATTCTAGGTTCTTCAAAATAGCCTCCTTTTGCTTTGATTATTGCTTCGCACACTCTTGGCATTCTATTGATGAGCTTCCAGAGGTAGTCACCTGAAATAGTCTTCCAACAGTTCTGAAGGAGTTCCCAGAGGTCCTTGTTTGCCCTTTTGCCTTCACTCTACGGTCCAGCTCACCCCAAACCAGCTTGATTGGGTTCAGGTGTGGTGATTCTGGAGGCAATGTCATCTGGTGCAGCACCCTATCACTCTCCTTCTTGGTCAAATAGACCTTACACAGCCTGGAGGTGTGTTTGGGGTCATTGTCCTGTTGAAAAATAAATGATGGACCAACTAAACCCAAACCGGATGGAATAGCATGCCGCTGCAAGATGCTGTGGTAGCCATGCTGTTTCAGTATTCCTTAAATTTTGAATAAATCCCCAACAGTGTCACCAGCAAAGCACACCCACACCATCACATCTCGTCCTCCATGCTTCAAGCTGGGAACCAGGCATGTAGAGTTTATCCGTTTACCTTTTCTGCTTTGCACAAAGACACAATGGTTGGAACCAAAGATCTCAGATTTGGACTCATCAGACCAAAGCACAGATTTCCACTGGTCTAATGTCCATTCCTTGTGTTCTTTAGCCCAAACAAGTCTCTTGTGCTTGTTGCCTGTCCTTAGCAATGGTTTCCTAGCAGCTATTTTACCATGAAGGCCTGATTCACAGAGTCTCCTCAGTTTTTCTAGAGATGTGTCTGCTGCAAGAACTCTGTGTGGCATTGACCTGTTCTCTAATCTGAGGTGTTGTTAACCTGCGGTTTCTGAGGCTGGTGACTCAGATGAACTTATCCTCCGCAGCAGAGGTGACTCTTGGTCTTCCTTTCCTGGGGCTGTCCTCATGTCATCCAATTTCTTCGTAGCGCTTGAAGGTTTTTGCGACTGCACTTGGGGACACTTTCAAAGTTTTGCCAATTTTTCAGACTCTCTGAACTTCATTTCTTAAAGTAATGATGGCCTCTCATTTTTCTTTACTTAGTTGCTTTGTTCTTGCCATAATACAAATCCTAACAGTGTATTCAGTAGGACTATCAGCTGTTTATCCACCTGACTTCTGCACAACACAACTGATGGTCCCAACCCCATTTAAAAGGCAAGAAATCCCACTTATTAAACCTGACAGGGGGCACCTGTGAAGTGAAAACCATTTCAGGTGACGACCTCTGGAAGCTCATCAATAGAATGCCAAGAGTGTACAAAGCAGTAATCAAAGCAAAAGTTGGCTACTTTGAATAACCTAGAATATAAGACATATTTTCAGTTGCTTCACAGCTTTTTAAGTAAATAATTCCACCTGTATTAATTCATAGTTTTGATGCCTTCAGTGTAAATCTTCCATTTTCACAGTAATGAAAATAAAGAAAACTCATTGAATGGGAAGATGTGTCCAAACTTTTTACCTGTACTATATACACAGCACATTTCATGTAGCAGGCGAGTTCAAAGTGCTGTAAAAAAGATAAACATAAGATTTTAAAAATCTCTGGCTATGTTTAAACTAAATAAGACAAGAAGGTTGATTATGACTAAAAACTTTTGCAAAGGTCATTAAATCAAGTCATCTACAATTAAATCATCTGTTGAAACATTGCTTCCGGCAAAAATCCCAAATAAAAATTTGCCAAAAAGACATTTCTCTAGATAATTCTATGAGATGGATTGGTTTTACAACTCTTAAATCCAATCTGTTGTACAAACTTAAAAATTGATACCAGATAAGATCGAGGAGGGATGTAACCTACAATTACACAAAAACTGTCCATACGTCCTTTCTGCAAACATTACGGTAAATGTGTTAAAAGAAGTAAGTGCATAAACTCAAAAGACATAATTAATGAAGTCGATTCTCTTTGTTGGAGGCCTTCTGTCTGGCTGAATGGTTTTCTAACCTTTAGACCTTAAAAAAACTTTAAAGAAAAGGTTGTTTATAGTGAATAACTTGTATAATTCAATACTGGATGGTACAGAATATGTCTTTTTGTATCACAGTGCAGAAGAAATATCCTCCTTATTGCTTAAGATAATTACATAAACTTTTATACAGCACATTTTAAGAAGAATTTCTTCAGGTCAAATTTAAAAGTGGAAAAAATTACAAAAAAAAAACCCCCATTTTAATTTTATCTGCAGCCAGAAACTAAGATATGCTTAATCAAAATGAAAGCTTTTATCAGCTCTTTGACAGATATACGTGGAGGAAATTGTGGGTTGAAGGTAAAACAAACATGCTGTCACATGCAGCTCTGCAACAATGAGTTAAAACAGTTAGACCACGCAGTCTGTTCCTGAGAATTTAAAGTGGTACGGCCCGACAATTGAAACAGAAAGCTGCAAAACACAGGCTGAAACACATCAGTGAGTTTTACATTAATACTCAGGACAGCATTTAGTTGGTTTTATACTTCATTTTTTATACATGTTCAGTTAACTTTATTGGTAAAGTCACATTTCTCACATTTGTACAGACAAACAATATATGAGACAAAAAAACTGTTGAAAGTTGTCTCTGTGGTATTTCTAAACCTGCTAAAGTAGAAACATACATGTTTGCACTTTTATTACAATATTTCTTTCTAAATAGGTGAAGGTACTATACTTTTCACAGCAAATGTTTATTTCAGATTTTAGCATCATGCTGTGGAGATGCTTTTAATCAGCAGGAAAAAAGGGAGATAAAGAACTAGGCAATCCTAAGAAATGTTAAACATGTTTTCAGACATATAACATCTTGATTTGTTTTGGTTGATCACAATAAATTCTAAGTCAACATGTTGACATCTCTGGAAAGGTTGAACCGGTATGAAGGTTTGTGTTCTCTCAAATGGATTAGATCTTTATTTTTTTAAAGTATAAATAAATAATCCCATTAAAATGTATTTTTAGGAAAGTTGAGAGATATTTATTGTAGGATTATGGTCCCTGAGCAGGTAGATGCTAAAATATTATAGTCCTAAGACAATCACAGCTGTTTTTTTCTCCAAAACTGTAAAACCATGTGAAACTTAGAGACTCATAATGAAAAATAGCTGACTCGTGTAAAGGAAGTCCCAAAAATTTAAATTCCTGTCAGTTTGCATCTTATTAATACATACCACTGTTTTTCCTCCTATGTCAACATGTAGCTGTGAATTTTCTTTGAGCTTATCAGTACATTTACAAGTCCTGCTGGTCCTGTCTTCTGAGTAATGTCACTCCCTGAGCCAGTTCTGGGCGAAGTGGAAAGAAGCTACATATTGCTGTCAGTTCCTTTTTGGGCTGTTTCATTGGCTTTGGTCCTAAAATAAAAAAGACCAAATTAAAGGAGCGTAATGTTTGTCCATTCAGGAGAAGCTGTGATTCTAACTACTGGATGGGAATATCACCTACAATCTACAAGCACATAACAAACAGTCACGTCTGTCCATTTAACTCTAGCAAGAAACAGAAACAGTTATGTTTCAAATGAAACACATCAGGGTTTTTTAAAGGAAATGATCAGTTGTGATTTTTCATGCTTGCCTTGTCTTTTCATTTGTAAGGATTGTAATGTTCTCATTTTCAGTTTACCTGCTGCTTGTTGCTTCATAGTAGCCATTCTCTTCCAGGAGCTCCTCAATGATTCCCTGAAAAGTACAAACTATTTCACTAGAAGTACAAGGACAACGAGCAAAACAACAGAATAGAAATGAAAATGATTTATAATACTGAAGCTCACTTCCAAACTAGTTTGTTCAGATTGTTTAGAGAACTTAAGCATCATATATGTTTGCTTGCATGCATGGTTGTGAGACAGATTGCTGTATGCAACCAGAGATATCAAAATGTTGTGTTTTTGATATTAGACTCACTTGAAAGATGTCGGGCTAGGGGGGATGTGTTTTGGGGGGTTATTGGGGAAAGGTAGGTCTGGAGATACTGACCTGCATTTGCTGATATGTGACTCCATCACTGAGATTCTCATCGCCTGTCAGAAAGGAGATACAATCAACTTTCCTTACCTTTGGATTAATTTGAATAATTTAAAAACCTAAACAGCAACCATCGGATGCCAAACTGGCTGTAATAAAACAGATCCTATACATTTTTTATAATTCCTGCAGGAGCAGCATTAATTTATTGCTATTATTTTACCTGGATTATCACCAGTAACGTGTTCCACTCTGAAGTGCTGCATCACGTGTCGCCAGTCTAAAGTAGTCGAGTTTAACTCCATCAACTCTGATGAGGCCTGGATCAGCTGAGAAAATGAAAATGAAGAGAATACATTCCTGGTTATGTATTTTGCTTCAGATAAAACTGAATGGGAGAAAATATGCATGTTTTATCCTTTATGGAATATAAATTCTGCTTCTTTATATAGAATCAATTAACAAATTTCCAATAAGAAAAAAAATCCAATTTACCGGTATATAAAATTAACAAAATTAAAACCAAATCAAATTATAATACTATATGGTTAACCCTTAGTGCTTAAGTAAAACACAACTGGACTTTATCTCATGTTTCTTGGAGATGTCTCAACTTTCATATTAAAGCGTTTAAGTCCTTGATAACTGAAAATCTGCTCAACATATTTCTATGAACACAACGGTTAAATCAATTTGATAGAATGCCAGTTGAGAATATTTGACTTAATTTCAGGATTAGGGGCACAGAAACATTTAGGGAAAATATGTCTGGAAGAGACACAGAGATGGCATGTTCTCCCTGAGCATGCATGGGTTCTCTCCGGGTACTCCGGCTTCCTCCCACATTCCAAAAACATGACTGTTAGGTTAAGATGCTTCCCTAAATTCTCCTTAGGTGTAAGTGTGTGTGAATGGTTTTTTATCCTGTTTTCTCTGTGTTGCCCTGCGATGGACTGGTGACCTGTCCAGGGTGTACCCCGCCTCTCGCCCATAGACAGCTGGAGAGGCACCAGCACCCCTTGCGACCCCACTTGGGATTAAGCGTGTCAGATAATGGATGGATGGATGGATGAGACACAGAGATTCTTTTAAATCTGAAGGCCTTATATATCACCTGTTGAGCATGGTAGTAGCAGCATTATGCTTTGGGGCTGTTTCGCTGCAAGAAGAATACTCCAGCTTAACGTAAATTCACAGTGAGGTTATTTCAATTTAGGGATGCTTGGATTTTCTTGGATTTGGAAAGGAAAGAGATAAAAAATGTATCAAAATTGGATGTGAGTAAAATAGACTTCTGGAAGGACCTTCCTGATCCCCAAACAAACCTTGACATTGTCTACTATAAGTGTGTAATTAAAGCACAACTTGCTCTGAGATATGTAATCCAGAAGCTTTGAGATTACACTCAATATTCTGAAACTGTTTAGAATAGAGACAATCAATTACAATTTGTGAAAATAATTCTTGCTTTTTTATATTTGGAGTTGTAAGAATTATCCTTTTGTCATGGAAAAATATAACTTCAGTCATAAAATTAGGTGTATGAAAAACTTATTTTAGTGGAGAAATTTTAACTATTGTGGTTCAGACTAAGAAATGAGAAAATAATTTCTATGTAGTGCTTGGATAAAAGAATCTTACATGGCTTATAAATCATAAATAGTGAACTGAGGCTTACTTTACACTGTACAGTATAATGTTTTCTGCGTAAGTAAACTGAATTGAAGTAAGTTCCTGCCATAGTGTGACCAATTAAAAACACATTTTAAGGTTTATTTAAAAACCTGCACAATAAAAAGTTTTTTTTTTCTTTTGTCTATAAATACCCCTGAGACTGGAAATGTAAAACCTTGCTAACCTTGCTAAGCTCCACCTTTAAGTTGTACGGATCACTGCCGAGCTGGAAGAGAGACTTTTTGAATCTCTCAACAAGACGCCGTTTGATGTTGTGGTGCAATATTGGTGGAAGCTGGAAATGAAATAAAACCCATAAAATGTTAATATGCTTCCATAATATCTTGTGGACTAACATGGATTTAAAGGAATACATAAGTAGCTTGTTTTTATTTGAGCTGTTGTCTTAATAAAATAAACCAAAATGTACTGTACTTGAGTTATAAAGATGATTTTGTGCAGCTGCACAAGCAGCCGCTGGATGGGATCATCAATCAGTCGCAGTTTCCTCTGCGACACACAGATTCCCACAGACACTAAAATTAAAGGAAAACAACTCATCTTGGCTGAGAAAATAAACACATTTTATATTACATGACGTAAACATGTCAACTGTTCCTGCACTCCTGATGTCTTTGTTACCCTAACTTCTATTCTAGTCCTGAGGAACAATCCTGCAACTTTTTGATGCACCCCATTTTTAACACACCTGAATCAAATGAGGCTCTGCTGAGCTATATGAGGGGATTGAGCCTTTAGATTCAGGTCTGTTAGAGAAGATATGCATCTAAAAGTTACAGGATGGCAGCTCTTAAGGACTAGACTAGAGCACCCCTGCTCTATTTTATGTCATAAATGTATTTAAAACCAGATGTTGAAATGGTACCTTTTCTCGGTTTTATGTTTGAAGCAGTAAAATCACCACTGAAAAAAGGAGGAAGTGAGAGAAGTATTTTAACAGAGTCATGCACCTATGAACAGGCAGCCATCTACTGTTGCGCTCTAACCAGAGGAGGTTATAAAGGTATGTTCAGTAAATGCGACACAAATGTTAAAAAGAGTGACATGTCCATTTTCACCCACCTGGCTTCAATCTGATCCATTCTGACACTAACACGGGGCTCTAAGTTTAGATTAAAAAACAGAAAAAGGATGGTGATTAAAATCCACATAAACTCCAAAAGAACCGACAGTAACAAGATAACAAGCTGTAAAAATACCGTACAAAAAAAACGATACTTGGAAAAGAATAAGGACCCCTATATGACATCAATGAACAGCTACTTAGCAATGTATCACTACAAATAAATGAGAATAAAAAAAAACTTCCTTCAGAGCAAAGGTAATCAGACTATATAAAACCCTAGTTGAATTGAGGCGGTTTGGTACTGCTAGCGTGAGGCCAGTTTGGCCGATTACTAAGTATCCCTGGTGCATGCATGCTCCACTTTATCAATAATTCTGCTGCATTCTCCCTAAGCTGCACTCATGACTTCAATTTGCTACAGCAAGGCTAATCTCAACAGAAGAGCTGTTCTTACTTTGAAGTGCATGCTGGAAAACCAACTCCGGTCCTGAAAACAGCAAAACTTTGCTGCATTCTGAGTTACTTTGGTCAGAAATTACAGCAAACATTACTCGTAAAATGCTGTTTAAAAGGTCCATTTACATAAAAAGTAAACTCCTCTAAGATTCTCATAACAAATTCTAGAATCAGTAATCGACTGGGTTTCAGAATATCATCAGATTCTATACAGTGCATCACCTTGACTGTTTGGCTGCATCATTTCTCCAGAGCTGCAGCCTCCAGAGGAGTTTTGAGCCAAATATTCTGACTCTTTTAGTCGTTTTTCCTACAAAAAAATAAAAAATTAAATCCAGAGCACTTCTCAAAGCTATATGTTAAAAATATAGCTCTTAGAATCCAGGTTTACCATGACTGAGTGGCAGTAGTTATTCTTGTTTTGTAGCCNTTTCCATTAAACACTTCTGTGTTCGTTTCCTGTCTTTATCGGCCCTGCGCTGCAGTGCATTCTGGGAGGTGTAGAGTCCATCCATCAGCCTCATCATAATGTCAGTAATCTTGGAGCTGACGGCTACGATGTCCGGCCGCTGGTCTGCATCTGAACTCAAACACCTGATGGATAACAAACAGTCATTAAAAGTGTGCAAACTTCAGCTGTGTGCAAACCTCTCGGCCTTCAGTCTCACCATCTAATCATATCTGTGAGCCTCGCTGTAAACATTCCCTCTTCAACTGGCTTATAGGCCCCTTCAACAATCTGTCAGTACAGACCAACCAATCAAATGTCAGCTACTCAGAATACAAATAAAAGCATTTGAGGTTAAAGTATGTGACATATTCATGCTACCATGTTTGCAAGTGACAGCATATTGCTGCTGTAGAACGGAGGTTGTAGAGTTGCCATCTGGTACAGGAGGCAGCCCAAAGCCCAGATGTCAGCTTTCTCTCCATATGGTTTGTTCTGCACCACCTCTGGACTGTCACAGCAAGCACCAAAACATGAACACAATTGCAGAAAAGATAACTTTTCGCTTAAAAGCCTAAACTTCATCACAAGGAGCACTTTAGATTTTCAGAGTTTAAAATGTTTCAAAAGAGTTGGGATAAAAACATGAATTGGAGGGCATAAGAGTGGAATTAGAATTATTCTTTCTATTAACAATCCTATTTGAAAAAGTCTGAGGTCTCCAAACCAAAACTTATCAAAATGAAAGCAAAAACTATTGCATACTATGATGCATTCTTTCTTACAGTCAATACTTGACAAAGAGTATTTCCCAGTTGAATATATTTTCTTAAGAGCAGCTGTCATTTTGTGAGTAAGAGATAAGAGTACTGCAATAAACTGAATATATTTAACCACTTTCAACACATTCTAACCACTAGTGCAAACAGTGCACGTGTAAATGTGATGGTGCTGTATGTCTGCTGCAATAGATGATCCAAGCCAGTTCCAGAAAGACACTGACTATCTATGAACCTTCTAGACGTTGTTACACTTGACTCTTTATTTTTTGTTTTTTTACTTGACTCTATTTGGATCATGTTACATTTAATGTGAATTTAAAATATCAGTAACATACCGCTCTTTGGAGTATAAAAAAAGTTCACATCAACATTTTGATTGAATTGATTATATTAAAAGAGCTCATATTAATTAGGTAAAGATTTGGTAAAGTGCCATTTTCAGCCTATGAGCTGAGTTCGCTGTATCTCTAAACTGCCTTCAAATGGCAGCAAAAGCTCCATTTGGACTGAATGATTTGCTGAAAAGTATTCTCACCAGGAATAGAGGATGGTACCAACCACTGACGTCAGCTCACTGTTCTCCTGTTTCTGCTTAGCGAGCCCAAAGTCAGCTTCAAGCAGAGGGACATATAAGGGTTTAATCCTTTGAACAAGAGAGGACAGGACTGCGATACAGAAAGAGGATGTGGTGATCGCTAACACTCACTGATTGTGACTTTATCTTTCTCCCCTAGCATGATGTTGTTTGGTGAGAGGTCACGGTGAATTATTCTCTTCTCTTTGTGCAGGTACCTTAAAGCCAGGCACATCTGAGGGGAAACAGAAGTTGACATTTAATCTGGATTTTAAAATGATTTTGTTGAGATTAGGATAATTCCACTCATTCAACCATCTCCACTATGCCAGAGGGGAATATCCACATTTAATTTAATGGGTTACATTCAGACCAAGAAAAAAATATGCACAGAAACTGATCAGAAAGAATTAGATTCAATGCTGAATGTTGTATCAGAAAGCATAAATAAATCAATTTGAAAATGTTGTGATATTTTGATGAAAGTGAATTATATTGTAGTGCTTCTAAGCTGGGAGTGCATTTTCTGTCACTCTAATTTTTACAACCCTTCTTGTCCCTCAGGTTCTGACTTTACCCCATTTAGTGAACAAATTCAGACCTTCTGTTTCATATCTTATTATTCCAAAAATTATGATTTTCCTTATTGATGTTGTTTCTTCCACACTACTCCTCTTAAGCTAAGATTTCATATTCTTAAATCACATAACTTATGGGTCATAAATGTGTTTCTTTGTTGCTGAGATATTGCTGTAAAACAGGAACTTATCTAATAAGTTTTTCATGGAAAACTAAGTTCAAAACTTTTACCTGTATGAATATGTTCCAAATTCTGTCTTCAGTGAATGTTTGTTGCTTGTCCTTCAGTGAATTAAAATGTTGAGCCAGTGGCACACCCTCAATCAGCTCCATTACAATGTAAAGCTTGTCACCTATAACATAGAGCATGAAGGGTCTTTTTTGGTTTGAATGAAAACAGTCCTGTTGGTCCAGAATGCTATCATCCTCACCTTCCAAAAATGCTTTATAATATTTAACTACGTTTGGGTGCATCATCTTGAAACAAAATTAAAAAAAGATTAATTACTTCTCAGCCAAATAAAATATATTGAAATCTATCTGAACAGATGTTTACTGCGTTGTGTACCTGTTCTTTGATGATTGTAAGCTCAGAGATGATCTTTTCCACATTGCTGTCTCTGGATTTCTTGTCTTTGCCAAACACAGGATTACGCAGGTTTACCTCCTTTAGAGCCAGAAAGTTCTGCCCGGCTTGCTTTTGGACCTGTCATTGAGAGCATATTAGGTGAAATCTACACGCTCTGAAAACATTACGAGAATAAAAATACAATCAGCAGATTCTGATGGAACATTTACTGAACTTTAAAGACACTTCCAAAAGCTCCAGAGCCCAGGTGGTCCAGTATGGAGTAACCACCAATCACTCTGAGCGGAGGCCGGGTCTGGTCCACAGCATCAATGTTCTCTCTCAGACTATTCAGCTCCTCTTCCTGCAATTAAATATTATTTATATGTTTGGAAGTTAAATCCCGCAAGAGTCAGCAAATACAGCGCCCTATGGATGTACTAGCTCTTCTGGTGAAAATGTGTAAAAAACCTTGAATTAAACCAAATCTATTGTTTATTAAAGTAGCATGAATTTGCACTGAAATATCTAATAAGAGGAAAAAAAAACTCTACTGAAAAAATACACATTTTAACCAATTCTTCAGTAGCACCAGTATAAGAACAAGGGCTTTGGGATTTTGAAATTTTGAAAAAAAATCAAAAATATGATTAATTTACACCATAACTAAGATTTAATCTTAACTTTTCTATGAACTAGAGGCAACAGAAAAGATAAAAATGTTAATACATAGGGACTGTTTGAGACAAGAAATTGAAGAGTTTTTTATTGATCAGAATACTATTGTTAAAGAGAATAGCTTATTGAATTTGACATCGATCCTCATTAAACATAAAGTGCAAAAAACAAGCAAGTCTATGTATGGTAAATGGCCTCTAAGTCAGGAGAATTGACAACTGAACTTTAAAAACTACATTCACTCATTTCCCAATTCATGCACACACTGATGGGGGCAAGCAGCATGGAAGCCACAGCTGCCCTGGGGCTCAATGCGAGGCCGCCGTGCACAGGCGCCACCGGGCCCTCTGACCATCATCAGTGGGTAATGCGCCTGAAGTGTCTTACTCAAGGAAACAACGACAATAAAAGCTGAAGCCAGGATTGTAACCAATGACTCTTTGGTTTCAGGGCAAACAAAAAATTGTAAAATGCATGAATGTTTATGATGTGAAAGTATGAATCAAATAAACTCTAAGAAAAAAAGTAATAGTTACGCAGCCAAAAATTGTATACCTCTGTGATTTGGAAATTGGGATGTTTTGTTTATTACAATTATATTGCAAATTCAATTGTCATGCCTTAATAGGAAGCCTTGCTAGATTATGTGATCTAGGTCTAGGTACTGAGATTATGTTTATGAAAGGTCGAGCTGCCTGCTGCATCATTTCTGGGGGATTAACCATGTGTGTTGGATCATTATATAGCTAAAAGGCAAAATACCGATCCAGTTTCAGTTTGCTGGCTGAATCCACTGAAATCTTAACATAAAATGTTAGGATACTACATAAAATGTTAGGATTTTAGCATCATGGATCCTTGACTATGTTCAAGATTAGGAATGAGGTATTTTTCTGTGCACAGTCACACATGTCCAGTTAAAGTCCCAGGGAGCTTTTTACTGAAATCACCCCAGGAAAAAAAAACAAAAAAAAACATTTGGTGTTTAGATATATCATTGCATGGTTGTAATGGAGGCTTTATAAGCTCAAGGGCTGTATGCCTCTGAGCTGTATGCCTCTGAGCTGTATGCCTCTAACAGTGACCTTTATTTTATTTTTTTTCCTTTTATAATTCTTACCATCCTCATCATTCATTTTAAAGAGGCAAAAGTAGGTTCTTATCCGACCTGGTAGACTACTAGTAGGAGACTCGCAAAAAGTATAATCCACTAAACAAAGGAAGGTGCTAACGAAAAATAGTGCTTCAGTGAAATTTATTTTGGAGTTCTTATCAGATGTAATGATGACAATGGTAAACAAATACATATCTATTTATACAGGGGATATTTTCCTGTAAAAAAATACTAAAAGGACAGATTTGGATTATGCTGTTGTAATAAAAGTTCAATTTATTTCAAGGTTTATTACACATCTCTGTCAGATGTACAGTGTATCAACGACTGAGACATTATTATCACCTCATTCTAACCCAACAAACAATAACTCTTTGTTCTTACAGAGTATAGTGAAACTTTGGTCTGCAGCTCCTCGTAAACTGTGAGATCTCGCACATAATGCCCAACATCAATAAACAATTCAAAGAGGTCTGTGGGAAAGAGCCTGAAAGGGATAAAGTGTTAAAGAACAGCTGTCCATGATCAGAGTGTTTTCTCTGACAAATATTGAATACGACAGTTTAAAGATTGCATAAAGGTTTCTCACAATTTTTTTTTTTTTAATGAAAAAAATGGTTCCAACAGACTCTACAGACTAACAGTGGATGGAAGATAGGAGCATTTAAAAAACAATTGTGCACCAATTATGCTACGTTCAAAGAAATACCCTCAAACTAGCATTGTAGAAATATTAAACTAAATTAGTAGAAATCTATAACTTGTCACATGTTAATGAATTATAATACAGACAGCAAAATCTACAAGAAAGACCAAACAAACAAGTTAAATTACTGAAATGAACAGTAAAGTTGATCAGAAAGGAAACATTTGACATTTGAAACCAAGAACCCAAAATGCAAAGTCAAAACCTGAAAGCAAAACTTGACCCTGAATGTCACAGTGGCATTACCTTTTAAACAGATATCTGTTTCTTTCAACGCTAAAGAGGAATCTTAGAGCTCGGAAGGCATAGCACTGCAAAAACAAAAGGTTAAGGTTTCATTGACTGAATAACGAAACACACACCTCTTGATCTGCTACATGAATTATTTACCTGTAAAGAAATGTCTTCCGCTTCACAGTTTTTTGGCAAAATTAGGTTTGCAATGATATAGATACCATTTTCCTATGATAAGAAAAATCCAGTTCCTTAAGAAAATATTTTCAATTTTTTTTTGTGTGTGCACTTTGCTTAAGAACTCTACCTGCACAATGTGGTGAGCAGACATGTCATCCAGACTCAGCTCAGTCAGAGCTGTACAGCAGGCTGAAACAAAAGCAGGAGCACAAACATAAACTGTTTGGCAAATCTCACACACAGCGACATTTACAACTGTTTAATTCTCAATAACAGAGTAAAACTTAAACTCCAGTCATGTACAGTTATAGTAGTTAGTCAGTGTGTGTATTCCTAAATACAAATTCAGAGACAGGAAATGTATAATCAGCCTGTAAAGCTGTACAGTTGAAACAGCCTCAAATGCCTCAGGAAATATCTGTTTACATTCTCAACTATACTGATAAGACTTCCCTACAGGGAGAATTATCCTTATTATGCAGTAAAAATAAAAACTAGAGCTTTTTTTTTTATATCATTTTGCATTATTACCAGCCTGCTGTTTTCCTTGGTAAATTTGAACACAATTGTTTTTATAAACGATTACTGTGGGGCACATTGTGTGATAATCTACAGAGTACTGTAAGGTCACTGACCTGACTGTAGAGCCGCCATGTTCTGCACCTTCTCATATGGTCCAAGCTCCTCACTAGTATGTTCTCTGGAGAACTGAGGGGGTTTGCTGGGAGTGGGAGGCATCTCCATGGCTGGATGATCAGAGACATGCTGCCTATCATTGAGAGAGTTAATTGCCCAGAGATTAAAAAAGAGACATAATGACGCTATTTTCTCCAGTTTTGTACAACAGGGAAAACCCCTAAAAATTAAGTTATAATCATAGCAGCTATTTCGGTTTTTAGTTCAGTAAAGTATATTCTTTTACCTTTGCTAGTATTGATAACCTATCCGATGTAGAACATCACATAACACAGTTTATCAAACCTGGTAAAGCTACTTTAAAGCCCTCAAATAATTACTTTTTATTACAATATTATCATTTTACACTGAGAAATCTGTATATACCCTAACTTTAATTTGAGTCCATTGATTCATTAGGGTGAAACATCACGTTATAGGAACAATTGTTTTCAACAAATTTGTACCTCCACTTTAGACATCCACAAATGAATACATGTACGGTAATTGAGCTTTCTTATTAAGAATACTTGAATTAAAACTGTCTTTTTTCCCCAGCTTTTATTGTCATTACACTGTCATAAGTACACAGCAACAAAATTCACTCTCTGCATTTAACCCATCCTCTTGGGGAGCAGTGGGCTGCCATTCTCAGGCGCCCAAGGAGGAGTGTGGGGGTTAAGGGTCTTTGCCCAGGTACCCAGAGTGGCAGGCTGTGGTAGTGGGGCTTGAACTCAGAACCTCTGGATTCCAAGCACAATGTTCTAACCACTAGGCCGCCATTCTCAAATAATATGCCTTTTAAGTACTCAGATTTGTGTTGATCTTGTGGGTTGGGTAATGGATACAAGAAAATAGCTATACCTATACCTAAATAGCTATACCTTAATCTTAACCTGTATACAGTTAAGGCAGTAATCAAAAAGTTTAAAACTATTTAAACTGTGACAAACAAGGCTGAATAAGGAACTGAAGTTAACTTATAACCACACAAACTCCATAACAGCCATAAGATGGTATCTATGGCATCCTGATGCTAAGTGACCGTTGGCCAGTGTGGCCAAATAAAAGCCTTTTTACATCCTTCTACCAAAGACGTAAACATGCAGAGTCTGCTTAATACCTTTGAGGTTTTAACTGGTATGCATTTTGGAGCGTTTGACCATCAAACATTCGAGGTAGACCTGGTGGTGAAACAAGAGCTAAATATGAGGAAAAGCCCCTTATACCAAAGTATCTACTCAACAGCTGGTTTCACATTCATATAAAATGGGCCGTCTTTCGCAGCATCAAGCATCTGTGTCGTCATAGATTGATGTTGGTAGAAAAAGCCTGGATATCAGTCTCAGCCTAAATTCCTACCAAAGGTGTTTCATCGGGTTGAGGTCAGGGCACTGAGCAGGACAGTCAAACTGACAAGTACTGCTCTCATTGGAACTGCCAAACTCTCCATCCGATCCACAGATGGAGAAGTTTAGTCATCATTCCAGGGTACGCATCTTCACTCTTCAGAGTCCAGTGGCGGTGTGCTTTAAATCGCTGCATCCAATACTTTGCATTGGATTTGGCTTGATACAGGACTGAAGAGGAACAAAGCCTCTGTGCATGGTTGCACACTTAACAGCTACACCACTGCGAACCCTCCACGCACCGTTCTTAAGCTGATCTAAAGGCCACATAAAGATCAGTAGTGACTGACGCTGCAGAAAGCTGGTGACCACTGCACACTGTGTGCATCAGCAGCCACTGCTTAATGCCAGTTCATGTGGCCGACCACTTCTTGGCTGAGTTGCAATTACCATTTGCTTCCAATTGGTTATAACACTACTAAGAGCTGACGGTAAAATTTTAAAGAATTACCAAATTTCACTTCTAGTCTTGCTGTACAGGCAGTGTCCAATCACAGTCTTTCACAAATGTTTGTAGAAACAGTCTTTAAGCTCCGGGTGTTTGATTTTATACACCTGTGGCCATGGAAGTGACAGGAAAACCAGATTTTCATAATTTGGATAGTTGAGTAAATACATTTCACAAATTAGTGTAGATTCACAAATTTGGGGTTGATCTGAATTAGGAACCTCATTCGCTTCTGAAAAAAGCGCTAAAACCAAAGGTTGGCCTAATCTACAAATTACGGTACAAATTGTTCATGTAGTAATTATGTCGAATCATTTTAAGTTTTCTCTTACAAATCTTGACAAGAAGATTCTAATAAATGTGGATGGTGCTGTATGTTTATGTCTGTAGTAAAATATAGGCTGGATAGTTCTGGACATAGTGGTAGAGTAAAACTAGGATAGTTTTTCAATCTATGACTAAATCATGTAACAGAAATAATTCGTGCAACAAGAATCCTCTTGCAATTCTCAAGTGATAAGTTATGTGAAACGTTGAGAAATTTGTCTATACTTCATAAAAGAAAAAACAGCATAGAGTTAGCATGCTGCTTTTTGGCCTTTTCTCTGATATTAATTTCAATAGTTCTTCTCATCAGTTCTGCAGTAGTTTGAGTTTGCTGTTGGACTAACCACAAACCTTTATAAAGCAATCACACTTGTAAACAGAAATGACTGCAATAATGCAGTACTAACTATAATCTTTGATCATAAACTCCTTGAAAACATAAAAGATTGCAATAAAATCTCATTTAGAAATTTGTTTCACTTACATGTTGAGCAGACGGAGGAGCTGCTGCACTCCCCCCCAGCTCCGGATCTCAGCCCTGTTGTCTGGATCCTCGCATAGCTGGACCAGGACCCAGGTGACGCTCCACAGCAGCTTCAGGTTCCTGCTGTGCAGGAGGCTCAGCAGCACCGGTACTCCCTCCAGCTCCTTTAACTGGTCCCTCACATGTTGGTCGGAAGACAAAAGCCTCAGCAACTCAGCACTCATTCTGCAGGAAACATAAAGTTTAAGATTATTTGGATCATAAGTTTGGTAGAATGTTTCTTCAAAAATATTTTAACACACACCAAATTCATTAATAAAGATATTCATTAAAATGTCTCACCTCTTTAAGATCAGATCATATTCCTGCAGTATAATAAGAAGTCTTTCCACAAATTGTAGCTTTCCGATTTCTGTCCTGCATTCAGAGCTACAGGAATCCAGGATATTGGAACATTTATATATATATTTAATATCATCAACTTTGATTGTAAAAGTATACATACCTCTCCGCCAAAGCTGTAAGTGCAAGAATGGCTCCCTGTAACACACCACAGTCTGTCGAGGAGAGGAGTGTCGCCAGGGTCTGACAAAATTAAAAGTAGAAACTCATTTTCCATTCTATATATGAAGTTTTTGTGTAGATATACTATTTTTGTTGATGTTTAGGTTGAAAGGTGTTTATATAAAGTCAGTCTGAGTCTAGCAGGAAATGACTAATTATGTTCAGTGTTTTAAAATGCAACTGTTAATCCACCTAAAAATAAAAATAGGCTTTCCTGAGCATATTGAAATAAAAATTACCCTGTGTGCACCACTCTGAATGACCCAGGACCTTTGATTATTAGCAGATGACAGCTTCTGAAATATGTCTGTAAAACAAGCAAAATCATTGATGCTGTTGTTTTTAAGAACAAACACAGCTCCAGTTGTCAGCATCCGTGTAATTCTGCATTCAGAGTACTCACAGGTCATTGTAATCAGCCTCTGAGTATCAAACACCACCTCCTCACCACATGATATGTACTTGGCCGTGACAGACTCCAAGTACTGCAGAGAAACAGAAGGCCAGTAAGCGTGGTATGAGATATATTTGGATAAAGAGGTTGCTTGAGGTTATAAATAAAAGCTTAAGGCATTTACCCTCGCAAGAAATAGGGTGCCGTTGAGCTCATGAAGAATTTTCTTTAGAAAAAAAAAAAAGTCAAATTAATAAATAAAATAATCACATTAATTTCTATTACAGTGAACGTTTTATTTAAAAACAAAAACAAAAAAAAACTTATTTTCTGGTTTTTACCTGATAGTTGGGATCTCTGATCAGTAGTCGAAGGCAGATAAGAACTCTATGAACCGCTTCAGGAGGTGCATGGTTGATCCACTCACTTTAATACAGGAAATGATGATAATCAATGAATGTCTTGAATATGAATAGCTATGAAAAGGTCAAGTATTTCATTTTAATTTACCTGCAGAGTCTATTTTTCACCAATGATGTAAGAATGTCCAGGAACAGTTTACTTAGAGGGTGACTGCTGAAAGATCTTTGATCTTTGAATGCTATGCTGGAAATAGAAAGTTTTTATCAGTAGCACTACAGGTAGACTGCATACAAAGATGGATGTTTGCTTTTAATACTTTAAGAAATTAAAAAGTAAAAGAGTGTGTTAGACAATTCAAAATATTATAGTTGTAAATGTAAATCCTTTTTTTTGTCCCACTATTGGGAAATTCATTCTGCAATTGACCCATCTCCTTGGGGAGCAGTGGGCTACCATTGTGTGGCACCCGGGGAGCAGTGAGGGATTAAGGGTTCTGCTCAGGAACCCAGAGTGGAGGTTGTGGGGACCGCACCTGCTACTTGCAACCTTCTCAGAACACAAGCCCACTGCTCTAACCACTAGTCCAACACTCCCACAAAAATTATAGCTGAAAATTATAATTTGATGCAGGAGGTTTTTTTTAAGCCTAATTGTGCCTAGGCTGCTCAGGGGCGCAGTGGGTCGCACCGCTGATTTGCAGCAAGAAGGTTTCGGGTTTAATTCCTGGCCCAGGGTCTTTCTTCATGGAGATTGCATGTTCTTCCCTAGTACTCCAGATTCTTCTCAAAGTCCAAAAACATGATTGTTTGGTTAATGGGCTTCTCTAAATTCTCCTAGGTGTGAGTTTCTGAATGGTTATTTGTCCTGTGTGTCTCTGTGTTGCCCTGCGATGGACTAGCAACCGGTCCAGGGTGTACCCCGCCTCTGGCCCTTACACAGCTGGTAATAGGCACCAACACCCCTCGTGACCCCAGCAGGGATAAAGCGTGACAGAAAATGGATGGATAATTGTGCCAGATTTGTACATGTTGCAACTTAGGTTTATAACACATCAATAAAACATTGAAGAGCTCCCCAAGTGTACAAATAACTCAGTTTATAAAAATTCTTGTATGGCTATTTTGCTAAATAGTTTTTATTTGATATTGAGTTTTTAGCTTACTAATTTTTTTTTTTTTTTTTACTTTTTCTTTACATGTATGCATCAAATAAAATAACAAAAATCATGTCACAACTGTTTGCATGAGTTTTTTCTAAAAAAGAAAATTTTTTTGCAAATATTTGTTTATTCACTTATCTTTCTTTTGCTGAATTGGGAAAGGGCAGTTTACTGTCCAACCAAGCAGAGTGAAACCATTAGCTATTTGGGTAGTTTTAAAATCCTGCAGAAAATGAAACCAGCATCTAAGTAAAGCCTGCCAGTACATCGAAGTACAAAGGGCTCAGCTATTGAACTAACTCAGGACTAAAGAAAACAAACTGGACCAAAACGTGAATTATATTACTCCTCAAATCTTTATTGACTGGAGAAACTTCAAGGCCTCAACATACCTGAATTCTTACTCTCCTCTCTTTTTGCATCCTTTGATACCTCAAATAAAAATGTTGTTTTCACCTGAATAGAGAACTTTAAGCACCACTCCAGTTCGCTTTTCCTAAAGCATTACCCCCAAGCTGGAGACCTTCCCTAGTCTGACTCAAACTTTCACTTGTTTTTGATTCACTGTGCTTAGTTATTCCAGATTGGCTCCTTCTCCCTCTGTACCACTGTAAATAAACATTTACATACTTGGAAGAAGCACTCTAACTTTAAATTAAATAGTTTGATTTTAGTCTAAAGGCAGTAATGTGGGATAAATTTACATGTAATTGAGAGATACATATAAATGTATGCTACACATATATATATAACCTGAATTTTTCCAGTTGAGTCACTTCACTGCTGAGGTCGCTGTCATTCCTGAGCCTGCTGATGTGCTTTGGAGAATGTGAGGATCTGATGGTTCTGCTGCTGACTGCTTTACTATGAGTCGGTGATGATACCTTTAACACAGAGAAAATCTCACAGCTTAAAATATCTGACAGGAGAAAAATTAAGTTATGTATATTATGACAGTGTTAAGACACGCTTCTTCAATGTGGTGTCATGTGCTGCTTTTCACCTCCTGTCTGGGGCTGCTTTTGGCAAGCAAGGATTGGAGCTTCCTGAGATCATAAGATGCCCTAGAAAACATGCTTATCAGGTGATTTGCTCCTATCAGATCAGGAAAATAAAATTATAATTTGTTAAAAGAGAAAATAGTCTTACTTGCTTTGGATTAATGAGGATTTCAGGGGCGGCTTTTCTTCTTGTCTTACTTTCCTGGTCAAGTTGAACATTTTCTGCGTTTTACATTTTATTTCCATGAGCAGCACATGCTAAATTTAGCCAAATATATATATATTTTTTTATCTGGTCTGCTCAGCCAGACACTTCCCACTTCATCAAATAAAGAAAGCCCCGAATGAAGGTACTCTCAGAGTTATCTACTTGGTCAAACAAAACGTAGTTTTCTGAAAATCTATTGCTGTCGAGGAGATTCTTTGGTTTCTCACCGTTTCAAACACCGCAAAAACACGGACTGTAAATTCTAAGAAATCCAATTGCTTCCTAATCAAATATCCCGGAGTTACATGGGCTATATTTCGTATTCGTAGTGGATCTCACGGCAAAAATACAAGTTAATGTAAAAGAAATGCATTTTATTCTCCAAATAGTCGTGGTTGCCATGGGTACAACTGACGCTGGCAGCTGTCTGTAAGCACTTGGCTGGTTCAACGTTCAGTTGTTGTTTGAGTTTATTAATTTATGAATATTTTTGTTTCAAAGTCTGTAATAAAAGAAATTAGAAAATATACGTTTTATATACGTTTCTGAAAAGTTGCCAGTGCTGTCGTAATAAAACTATTTTTTTATTTTCATGTGGTTTATGACGTATCGCGATAACGCAGTTCTACTCAAAGGAATTTTAAGATATCACGAGACTTATAATGCCTCCCCACTGCCTGTATTCACGTAGAGTTTACGTCAGATTCTTAGCCGTAGCTGCGTTGGGTGTGAAGGCTCCTGCGTGACTCATTGTGCGTAGGTTAAGCAAAAGTTGCGAGGGGGAATGTCGGCTTGTGAATGATCGGTGTTTGAGGCGGCAGGGACGTTATGGGTGAGACTACACTGTTACCTGAGGTTACAGCTTAGGAGAAAAACTCCTTTTAAACGGTTGTGTGTATGGTTTTACTTAAAATTCGTTGCACTGTTTGAGCAATTTGCTACTGTTTAGCTACGGCAGTTGTCGGAGCAACCAACGCCCAGTCCGCCTCCACTTGGATGGCTTGCTATGCTAGCAGGCTAGTTTTAGCTTCTGCTCGCTGTGTAAACCAACGGGAGTGTCATTTCCTGTCGTTAGCTTTGTAGCGAACTATTTTAGCAAACGCCTCCTTCTGTCCTTTATCAGTTGTTTGAATAGTATAACATAATCATTGGTTTTACCTATCTGCTTTTGAAATTTCCTCTAGAAAAACAGCAGTCACATAACTAATTTGGTTCAATGTCGTATTTTGGATGAAACAGCTTGCTACAATGCTAAGTTTTATGCCCTGAAGTTACGGGTAAATGACAGGAAGCGTTTGCGAGCTGCTGTGGGTTACTGTAAAATTAAATTCACCCATTTAAGGTCCCAAAGAGCAGGAATTTGTCTTTAGATGTATGTTCAAGTTCTACTTCCATTAAGCTGATATGACTGGGTCATTTGTTTTAGCCAGGCAGAATCAGACCTGATGTCAGGTTAGACATAAGGAGGTTAAGGCTGCCATCTAATCTGGATTACAGTGGATCTAGCACCTGAGTGTTCATGCTTTGACTTTAAAGTTAGTTGCCTTTGCATTGAGAGCCGGTAAATTAAAGGACTGCATTTGATATATTGGTTTACTTTTAAACTGAACATATTTGTTAGTCAAGTAATAAGAGGCCCTTTAACTCTGCACAAAGACTCTACAGCTAAACTTATCTTCCACCTGCCACCACTTCCTCTGGTAGAACCCCGAGATTCTACCGGAAAGGAAACACGGTTGTGATTTGAAATTACAGCTATCTTTTTAGGTAGGTCTGGAACATCACGATTAGCTGTCAGGTTAACTAGTTTTAGAGCTTAGTTAAGTTGTGACCCCAGCCTGATACTACTAACACTGAGCTACTCACCCTGGAGACAAATCGGTATTATCATGTCTTAGAATCGCACTTGAGACGAGTGGGCTGGTTTGGCAGGCAGAGGATGTTCTGGCATAAGAAGCAAAAATCCTCTTCTAGCCACAGGCTTACAGAAATGGCTGTATAAATGTACGGTGCTTGCTTTATGGTGCTGTTGACATTTAAGGAGCAAGTGAAGTGGAAAAATGTACAAGTCTGGCCAACTGTATGTTTTTACAGTTGCTTGGATCATGAATATATTTACCCCAGAGCCTAAAACTCAACAGTAGGACATTTGTTTGTCAGATGATCTGATATTGATTTAGCTTTTTCTTTTGTTTCTTTTTTTGGTGACCTTGTGGATACTGAATCTTTCTGCACGCTGCAACCACATGATGATGATCAACACAATGCAGCTGTAAGTATACAATGGTTCATGATTTATGCTTTATATTACTGTTATTTCACAATAATAACTATAATGCATAATGTGGAACAGCTGCTTTAATGTAGCGTACCATGCATAACCTCCAAGTTAAGTGATGAATACTATATGATTTAAAACAGATAAGCTTTTCTTACAGCAACAAAAGAACCTGGAAGGATATGTTGGCTTTGCAAGCCTCCCCAACCAAGTGTACAGGAAGTCCGTCAAGAGGGGCTTTGAGTTCACCCTGATGGTTGTGGGTAAGAACACTCTCTGCTTGGCCCTCAGTTTACTCTTGTATTAATTGAATAATCTTTTTGTTCCTTGTGGAAGACATTTAATGTTGTTTTGTGTGTCTTTTTGTTTGTGTTGTTGTTTTTAAGAGAACGATGCTGATGTTCATGTATCTCACAGTGCAGGACCATATCTTTGTCATCTCAAATAAGTTTTAGTCTTTGGATTTCTGCCCTGTTTTATCTTTAACAGATTCTTAAAATAGTCGTGCAATAGCAAAACGTTTGGTTTGGAGTTTTCTAGAACTATACTCAGCATGTCAGAAACGGTTGCTTCTTTTCTTAAATGCCTGAATGTGGCTGTTGCCTGAGCCAAGATGTTCCTCAGCCATATTTGGAGGGAAAAATGTGTCCCAGGGTCACAACCACTTCCTGTTGCGGGAATAACATAGTTTGTGCTCAGTATGCCTCTAAAGAACACTGCATCATGTTCACAACGGACAGTTATTTCTAAGTGTCTTTGGCCTTTTTTATTACGGTTTTTGGGGTCATAAAAGTTCACTTGGAATTTGCTTTCACCCAAACTTAGAGATGCATTCATCAGTCTGCTGTATAATGGAAGTGGTCATTGATTGTCTCCGACTGCTAATTGGCAGGTTAAATACAGAAAAAACATTCAATTAAGGAGTCAAAATAAGCTACTTTAATTTCTAGCTTGAGCTTTGATGCGCTATAAATTAATATAAAGTGACGGTTTAATTCATATTCTTCTCTGCACAAATAAGGCAAATTCTCTTATTCCCTTGTTTTGTTTTTGATTTAAATCTGCCTCCTATATCGGATAATATTCTCTGCATTTTTATTATCTATTTGTTGTCTTTAGAATAATAAAAAAAAAATCTCTGAAAAGATAAAAATCTGAATTGACAGACCTCAAAGAAGACCAGAAACTGGAATCATTCAAGACAAGCCTGATTGGTGCATCTTTACATGCACTATGCTTTGTTCTCTGTTTTTCTCTATATCAATATTTTGAGAATAATCCCTGAGAAGATTAAAAATGTCATGGCAACAAGGACAGAAAAGGAGGTCCTCTGGGCTTTCTGATACTTAAATGCATGCCATTGTTTTCGCACACACTCATACACATAGTGTTCAGCTGTTCTTGGCTCTGATTTGCCGCAGGCCCACATGTCCTGCCGTTCCCACATGCGATGTGTCACTTGTTTGGTATAAAAGCGGAAAGGAGGAAGAGAGATTGGTACTGCATTACCATCCCTGACTGGCACATCTATCCATAGCTCATCGAACATGTGACCCACAACCTGTTCACACATTAGCGAGCTGCTCTTTTTAGATTTTTATAACAATTTCCTAATGCATTAACTAAATTAATATACCTATGTTACACAGTTAGAGGCTTAAAATGATATGTTAGGTACACTTTCAGTTAAAGCGCATCACGTTACACTTTAACTGTCACTGTGGGCGTAAATGGTGCTTCGTTAAATATTGACTTATGGCCGTCAGCCAAGCCAGCCTGTGCCAGTGGTCATTTCAACTAATGATCCTTTTCACTGGGATCCTGGAAACAGGGCACACAATGGTCGGCCAAGTTTGAGAGGACTGAGACCACACAGCCAGTCGTTGACGCATAACAAGAGCCATTGTCTACATTGTTTTTCTAGCCTTTTAACTGTTTAACCCAAATAGATTGATACCTCTAGAGAAAATCAGTCTCTGGAGCCAAATTGCCCAGTATTGTCTGAGGGAGATAGGATTGAAGTTTGACCTGAACATTTTATTCAAAAATAATATTCTAATACTTTAGTTCTATTTTAAGGCATACATGCGAGTATCTTCAAATACTGATGCATTTTCCCGTTTTGTCTTTTTGTTCCCAGGTGAATCAGGACTGGGGAAGTCAACTTTGATTAATTCACTTTTCCTAACAGACTTGTACTCAGCAGAGTATCCTGGACCTTCGCACAGAATCAAAAAGACTGTACAGGTACAGTTCTTAGAGAAAATATGTCGGTTGTTTTAAAATAAGCAAAATATGCCTCGCTATAACCTGTAAAAAGAATAGAAATCTGAATCAGCCAATTTTACTTTACTTTTGATTTTATTTATCTGTGACTGGATAATCAAATATTGAAAAAAAGAAAGTTCAGGGACTCATGTTTAGATGTCTAAAAGGGATCATCTTTTAATTCTCTGCTCATTTTAAGCTGCTGCATGTCAAAGTATTCCAGTCCTTTGTGTTTTAGGTCCTCCAGTCTTTAGAAAATAAATCTGATTAAGTTGGTCAGACACCATAAAAAACTTTTAATCAGTATTAATCAGGAAAAATATGATCTGTCCCCCTTTTAATTTCTGAATTTGGTTGAGTTTTCAGCTCACAAATGCTAATCTTATGCAAACCTATAATATATTTATAGGTTTCTTAATATTCATAATTTCTCTTTGATCATGCAGTTTAGGGACCCAGTTATGGTGAATAAGAGTCGCTGCTTCTTTTTTTGTGGTATTATTTATTAAACACATGAACGTAAAGGGTCTTGGACAGTAAATCTGATTTTACATCTCACTTTTTGAAGTCCCTGACCTAAATATCCATGAATCAAATGGCAAAAATTGATTTGTAAGAAAAATATATTTGCCCATCCAAACAGTTGAGCTAACACAGCTGGTAACATCGACCATTAGTCAAAACACAAGCAGAAACATAAAAGAAAACTCATTTGAATCTCAGGAATACTGCATGGAGAGAATTGTTGATTTCTTTATTTTGATGATAA